TCCCGATTCCTGGGAGAGTACTTATCCCTTCGATGAGGACTTGGGGTATTACCGGTCCTCTTCCTTGGATCACTAGGAGGCCGACTAGGCCTGTGAGAATCTCCAAATGGCGATCGTCTCCTGACGGGAGGGCCGGGAGCACCAGGTTTCTGGTAAAAATATTTGTGCATATTGACTTGATTCTTACGAACCCTCCAGCGGTCGATCTCGTTCTTACAACGAGAACGAAGCCTTTCATAGCTACAAACATCAGGGTTGGATATGTTCCTATCCCATTCCCTGATATCATGCGCCAAACAGTTGAGGTGTCTAACCTTCTCACTGAATAGCGACCGCTTTACCTGTTCGGTCAGCTGTTCATCGAGACCCGCAAGGATGTGATCCCATTTCGCGATAAACCTTTCAAGTCGTTCCTCTTCAGCATAGAAAGATGAAACACTACATCGCAAGTTCGAGAGTTCAATTCTCCTGAATGATTGCTCTCCGATGTTTGCAGTCCTCAAGTGGTCGTATAAGAGCCACAGGATCTGCCTACTCTTGATGCGGTTGTTGGCGCGTTGAGCGGCTTCGGTGAGACGATTAATCTTATCCATGATTGCAACAGTCTTGATGCACTTCCGAATGGCTGCATTGAACCTAGCTTCAAGGATGTGGTATTTACATTCCCCATCCAGTTCATCAAAGGTCTTTGCCTTCTCAACTTCAGTTAGCCAATTGATGACGTAAAGCCCATCATAGCTGTAGGCATTGCTGACAGCTTCCTTCATATTGGCCATCCATACCCTCAGCCCAGCCGCGTCGGGCTCTGGCGGGAGGTCGATGGGAATGCACTTAGTCGCAGCTGTACAGTTCGGATCGTGGTGGCTACTGTATCCGCCGCCACCAGTTCCGAAAAGATGCTGTGGGACCTGAGAACTACCGATCGACAGCGCACATACAGGGCAAAGGCGAGTGGCCTTCGGAATGCAAATCTCACATGTCTTTTTCATGCATATCTTACATTCCCCAATATTGCTGGGGTCAGGAATGTCCCGATCACACATCCGACAATTCCTGTCAGGAGGATCGGGGCCACGCATGGTCGGCGGCTCAAGGCCTGAAGGATCCTTCGGCCTCGTACCGTTGGGATCAAATCCCGGATAATATCCAGTTTCACGCTTATCTAGGGGCACGGGTTGCGTAGCCTTCGGAGCGCTCTGAAAGTCAGCCGCGTTGGGCTGACCCCCAGTGGGAACGTCACGGAATCTGTCAACAGGTGGCCGTAGAGGCGGTGAGTACGACCGCGGGTTCGTCTCGGGTGCGCCTCCAGGAGATCTATTCCTTACACGATTACCACCGAGATCCCTTCTTCTCCTACTCTCGTCCCTAAGGCACGCGAGACAACAGGGACCCTGGACAAATCCAAATCTCCTGTAGTCATCCTGCCCAGCTGAATGCCTGGTGCAGTAGTAGGTTCTGCAAAACTGACACTCAATTCCCTTGGTCAAGAACGAGCTCTCTCTACAGACACCGCATCGGGGTCCGTTACGGGAACACTCTTCACACAAGTCCTCTTTGAACGAAAAACAATACTCACAAATCTCACCTCTGCATCCTTTGCAGTGAAACTCAGCAATGAGGTGATTACTCCCATCTCCTAAGTATTTACATCTGGGTTTACCAGGGTCGCCAGGATTTCCACCGGCAGCACTCTTCTTCCCCCCTCCTCCCGGGCTTTGCCGATCCGGAGGAGGAGGTGGTGGAGGATCATCATCAGGAGGGCCAGGCGGAGGTGGCCGCTTGTCCGGAGTACGGGAAGCGGCACGCCTTCCTCCTGTGCGATAGTTCAAACCACTACTCGATGCCTGGTTCGAATGCTTTGACTCGAGGGAGTTAATTCTTTGGGCCGTGTTGCTCAGCACGTCGAGCATTTGCTCGAGCTTACTGTTGAGCGTAGTCGAAACGGCCATGTTATGAGTATTCTGCTTGTCCGTGTAGGATTTGCAGTCCCTTGACTTGATCTCAAGGTTGGCCTGCGTCTCAAAAAGTTGGTCTTTAACCCACTTTATGCCGTCCCTATTAGTGGTCCAGCATTGTTCGGCACCTTGCATCATCCTATCAATATGACACATCCTGGTGGATAGGTCCTCGATTTTGAGGTTTACTCCACCAATCGCAGGATGGTTGGATTGACCTGGAATGCTTCGATCCCATCAAGCACGTTAACTAATGTGTCCGCGTTTAGCGGATCCCTACCGACAATCGACGCTGGATCACCCGAGTGACCACGTCTTGAGCCCCGCGCACTGGGGTTTCCCCTGTGTGCGGTCTCTCGATCCATCCTTCTAGCCCTGTGCGAGCTGGCCGAATCTGACCTAGACCGTTTGCTCGGCGTAGGACTGGGATGCAAATCCAATCTATCTACAATGTTTCGCTCCCTAGGACTCTCAAATCCTGAAAGCCCTGGGGGAGGGGACATATTCCTCATGGTCGGTTTACCGACGGCCTTGGCCTGACATTGCGGCTGGCCACATCAGGATTAAGATTTTCAATGGACAAAGGTAACATGAACTCTTCGCTTCCAGCAGTCCGCTTTGGGCTCTGGAACTGTGGGAAAGAGGGTGGCCCTGGCATCCATGCAGCGAAATCCATGCCAAGAATATTACCGTCACTTGGCCATGAGGCCATCCAATCTGACCTACCGATTTCGGCTGGCAGATGAACATCAAATGCAACTCCACTGGATGCACGAGGTTCGGGATTACCGAGCGCTTGAAAAACTATGCTACTGGTTGGCACAGGTCTACTGCTACTTCGAGAGTCACGAAACTCGGACTGACCAATATTCATCAGCTCCGGGAAAGATGAGGATTGAGCTCCAGGTACAATACCGGGCTCGTCATCATCACGTCCTGAGACGGAATCATCATGGTCAGGACGATTAGTCCCATGACCCTGAGAGCGATTAGCTCTTGAGGCATTAGACCATAGGTCATCAGTGCGAGTAGCACTGGACCTTCCTGAAGGCATTGCTTCGGAAAAAAGTGTGGTCCGACAAAAAGTCAGGACCGGAAAACATCGGCTGTCCGGGCACCTGGTCGTCATTCACAACGTCCAAGATTCCGGCCTGGCCGAGAACCCATTCATCGGTCACCACGTGAGGTCCATCCTCAGTGATTCCCGCCATGACGTCTACAGAAACCTACGGTACCTGCAGGGTTGTTATTTAAAAGGAGTTCGCGGTGCCAACCGACGGCTGATAACCTGCGAAAGGGTTTGAAACAGAGTTTCGGGATGGATAAAACAGGCCCTAACCCACCAACAAGAAGAGACCACCTTATCCCCCCGGTCCCAAGGGCAAAGCAGTTGCCCCCGGCCGGCACTAACACGAACCAAAAGGGGTGCCTCGTTTGTAACAAGAAGAAACCAAGCAGCAGCGCAGCAGAGCGCAGGGCAAGCAAGCAAACCAGCAGCAAGCAGCACCAAGCGAGCAAAGCGAGCAGTAGCAGCGCGCTCCAAACAACAGCCCGACCCACCTCCAGGGCAAAGACCACCGCCCCAGCAACGACGGCCGCGACGTCGCGCGGCCGGCGTGTAGAGCGCCGCGGACTTTTCCCCGACGAAATGGCGAGCTACGTCTGCCGAGTGTAAAAGCTTGAGCCAAACAGCGCGTTGGCTGTGGCGTTGAAACATGTTGCGATGAATGTACATGCCCCCAAAAACAGAATGGATTTCCTTGTCCAACCGGTTGTTGATTGTGCTTGCCTTTTTCTCCTTTGTAGTTGTTGTTGCTGTAGTTGTTCCCGTAAGTCCCGTAGCCTTTGCCTTTGTTGTACCTTCCTTTGCCCTTGCGCTTGCCCTTCTTTCTTTTTCCTTTGTTGTACCATGTTGCTCCTATGTCCATCGGTGCCGGCCCTTGGTTATTGCTGCCTGTTGTGATTGCTTGTAGCCTGGTGAATGATGCTGTTGCTCTGTAGTACTCGGTCACCATTGGTCTGATCTGTGCATATGTTGTGATGTTTCCTGCTTGAAGTTGTAGATGTTGCTGTAGTGGTCCTTTTGTCTCATTGAGCAGTATTGCAATCTTGACTGCATCTGGTAGTTTTGTGCTGTTGTCTTGTTCGTACCTGGAGAGTTGAAACTCCCATGTTGTGAAGCTCTCTTCAAACTTCTGTTCATCAAGCTGTGGCTTGAGTAACCTTGTTAGGTACCCAATGCTTCGTGTACCAAGTGGTATGGAGTATCTTGCATGTATCAGCCGCCATGTTTCAAATCCGTTGCCTTGCATGTTTTGCCTGCAAATTGTAGATGCTGGTCCATCGCATGTGCTCACCAAGAGGTAGTGTAGATTGTTGCTCAGTTGTACCCATTGCTCTGCTACTGCTTGTGAAGGTGCTGCATTCTCAAGTTGGTCGTTTGCAACTTCTCCTGTTGATTGCTCTGACTGTTTCAACGGTCTGTTGTATGCTGGGTCTTGTAATCCCAAGTATGCTGTCATCTTGTACTTCCATTCTTCGAAGGTGTTGTATTCTCCTGCGAACCGCGGTGGTGATATCTTGTATCTGTGGATTCCTTCCAACTGCTGTTGTTCCTGTTGCTGCTGTTGTTGCGCCATGTTGCTCACTACTGTGTACCTGAACCTGTGGGTGTGTGATGGAGCTCACCCTGGGTTGTGGTCGTGGATCGTGCCCCTCTACCATGTTAAAGTGGAACTAACTGTGTAGTCACCTGATGACCTAAATGTGTCAAACCTGTGATGTGCCAGCTCGGCACTTGTTGTACTCAGCCGGCGAGGGCTGTAGCTCTATCTTGTGGATAGGCTCAAGGCCTTGATGTACAGAATGGCCAAGGTCATGTACAAGAGTGGATGTACATTAACACTATCTATCTATCTATCTATCTATCGATCTATCTATCTATCTATCTGGGCTTCTAAACTGTAGAGGCCGATGAACCAGCGGCGTCACAACTCACCTGCATACCGCATCTCCCCTATTGAGGCAGCAGTCAAAGACCAGCTCCTGCAGCCAGTTCCTCCCCCAAGACATCTGCCACAACGTCGTCACCATCGTCTGCAGCCTGGCAAGAAGCCTTGAAAATGCTGAGTTACTACAACGAGCTTGCCTGGTCCTCCGCCCACGTGAGGGGCATGAAGCAGGTCGGACCTATGGGCATGAAGGCATGCCACGACATTGGCAGCGCGTGTAGCGAAAAGGCGTCGCTGGGATGAGCACAGCCAACACCGCCGCTGGGTAGCTGCGGAGCCTGCTCCAAGTACCTTGAAGTCTGGGCCCGGAGCTTCAAGCAGCTTCAAGCGGCTGACTCCAAGGCTTTGGCTCCTGCAAGCAGTCGCGGTGGAAGGCGTGGCCGCAGGTTGCTTTGGCCCTGCTTCCCTGCAAGGCAACCGCTCGCGCGAGCGATGAGGGGGGGAAAGAAATATATATATATATATATATGCTCACCCCCCCCAGGGCCTACCTTTCCACTTCAAAATGTACAAAACCCTCTTATTTTTAAAGACAGGGGGTGTGAGAATATATACGCAAGAAGTGTGCTGTTGCTGCATATTTTTTTGTGGGTGACAAGTCATGTTGAGTAACAACAGCAAAGAGTTTATAAACTTACAAGACAGTTTATAAACCATGTCAAGGGTTTGACGGTTTCCCTGCAACAAGGGCAGGGGGGGGGTCAGAACTCTTTACTGGGGGGGGGGGGGGAAGTCTTTACAAAGTTGGCTGAGTCACACCTCACTGCTAAGACTTCCAACCACCCCCCCCCTGTGTTTGGTTTGTTGCACAATTGATCTCCTGCAACCATTTGGCTCAAGGCCCTTTTTTGTGTATCATAGCACACTCATGATCGCGTGAGAGAAAGGAACCTTTGCAGGCCGCTTACAGGATTATATCACAATACAATCCACCAGGGACAATCCATCCTCCAATCATCCATATTGGCATATTGGACTCTCTCCGGAATAGATCTAGGGACCACATCAACGACCTCAACTACCACAAGGGTACCAGTTCCCTTCGGGGATAGGCACCCCGGCAGTGGGCCTCAATTTGTGGTAGCGGAGGAGATCCAAGGGAAGATGTCATCAGATGGAGAAGGTTTCATGGAAGCCTATTCAAGTATGGCCAAACCAAGTGGCTATACGGAGGAAACACTAAATTTATCGATGACCGCCAAGCAGCCGCCATCGTACGACGGAAAAGTCAGCTGGTTCAGGTATGAAGAACTCGTGGACGACTGGGTAACCATCACAACGGTGGAAGCATCCAAGCGAGGACCTCTGCTTAAGAGCAGACTCACTGGAGATGCTTACATGTACAAGGCCGTCCTCCAGAATGACCTTTTGCAAGATCCTGATGAAGGAGTCAACTACTTCAAGAACACGCTGAAGAAGTACTTTTTGAAAGGTGCGACCAACGTGTATCTGTACAGGCTCCTCAGTTTCTTCAATCATAGAAGGCAGAACCAAGAGTTCCTCATTTTTACATCAAAATTCGAGATTCTTCTCATGAGACTGAAGGCAGCATGGATGGACTTGATGCCAATTTTTACGGCACAATCCCCATCATTTCGCCAGTCCGTACAGGAAGCAAATGCAAGAACAATTGCTCGACATCAGCAAGCAGCCGGTGTTCGAGCACCGCCTCCAGCCCTGCTCAATGAGGATGATCCTACAGTCCTCAGACAGTATATCAACGGAATGCAGGACAGACAGCGGGACGCATTTCCCTTCGGGGATAATCTCATTGCGCAGTTTTTCATCATCCAGAGTGAATTGTCAGATCAGCAGAGAGAAAGACTGACAAGTGCAATGTCACTCAGGAACATATCGCTAGAGAATTACTCCTATGAGATGCTGAAGACTCACTACCATGAACTCTTCATCACGACGAGGACATCGATCCAAGATCCATCCATCCGACCTCAAGGAGGCAACCGAAGCAACACTTTCTTCATCATCGAGCAAGGTGAATACGAAGGAGAAGAAGGCTTCTGGGTTGAGGATGAAGAAGGACTTGAAGGATTCATGTCAAACAACGACGAGGAGACGTTCTGGGTCCTCGAGGAGAACGATGCGTTCATAGCAAGGAAAGTGTCGGGGCGGAACTTCAAATTCAAGAAGAGAAAAGGAAAAGGAAAATCAGGAAACAAAAAGGGCAGTCACCAACGAGGTGGCTTCAAACCCTTTCAGAAAAAGCGGTTCTGGCGGGAAGGCCAATATGGCCAATGAAAACTATGATCCCTACGACCAGGCATATTGGGGAAAAGGCAAAGGAAAGAAGGGAAAGAAAGGAAAATCAAAATTCCAATATCCCTATGATGGAAACAAAGGTTATCCATCCTATGAGAGTGGCAAAGGAAAGGCGGACATGACAAAGGAAAATCCAAAGACGTTCGCAGCCACCGCAGAGAAGACGGAGGAGCAGCCCGCCATCCAGCAGACTGCACCATCCACAGAGCCTACCTATGCCGGTTGGACAGACCAAGATTGGGATCAATCATGGACATGGAACGAACATGGCTGGTACTCATCCCATGAGACATCCAGCACAGGACAAGCGTTAATGGCATTCCATGATGCATATGAGCATCCTGGGAAAAAGGCCATCCACGGGAAGCTGATCCAATCAGATACAGTTTCAGAACACAATCTGTCCGTCACAACAAATCACAGCCTTTTGGCAACAAAGCTGATGGCGCCTGTCATCAACCCTCAGCACAATCCGACCTATGCGATTCTGGACAATGGATGTACCAGATCTATGGGCAGCTGGCATGCAATCCAGCGTTTTACTCAGGCCATCGAACCAATGAAGGACATCATCTCCTATCAGTACATCCCGGCCGAGACCAAGTTCACTTTTGCAAACGGAGAGACCGCCAGGGTAAATTGGACCCTGCATCTTCGATATCACACAACTCCTCCATGCAGTACCAACATCGACGTCCTTGAACAAGGAACTGTACCGATCCTTCTCAGCATCAGCCAGATGCGGAACCTCTACATGACCATCGAGCACACACCTCAATGTGACAAGATCACACGCAAGGCCTTTGGCATGAACCGTCAAGCAGTTCCAGTATCCGGTACAGGACATGCACTCGTCGACCTCGCTGGAGTTGCAAGAGTGAAGGCACATGGAGAAATTGCTCGCCAAGGCCTCACAAACTATGTCTACGATGATGACAACAGCATTAAGTTTCCTTCCGGGGATCTCTCCCAGAGTGAAACTGTTTGTGCGGCAAAGTCATCCGAGACAAAGGAGCACCTAGCAACTCCTAAAATCATTGGGTCTCAGAAGCAGGACCATTGGATCCTTGACAAGAAGAACAAGCAGCTCATCCGTGTGCACATCACGCCCCGCAAGGCGTTGTTCACACCAAATGGAGCCAAGGAATGTCCAATCGATCCTGACAACATCAGCCGAGAGCGTACTACGGAAATAATTGATGCATCCGTAGGTGGAGATCCAGACATCCTAGAAGACAATTGGAGACTTACATCCCAGGCAAACAAACCAATGATCAACCTGTGGAAAGGTAAGACCATTTTCACCTTCGCGGACAATTCGCTTAAAGAAGAGGAAGCAGGTTCAGGATCGGCAGCAGACAGGATCATCGACAAGAAGGGCCGGTTGACCATTGAGCCAGATCCAATTGCACCATCCTCAGAAGAACCAACATCGCTTCCGCTTGCCCTGGGAAGAATCCACAAGCGATTGTCAACTCCCGAAGAGTTGAAGAAGCTCCACCTCCAGCATCATCACATGACAACAGATCAATTTCGATTTAGAACTCGCTCACTTCATTTGCCAAAATCAACATTCGATCTATTTGACAAAGTCCGAAGTGAATGTGAAGTTTGCCAAGCGGCAAAACATGCACCATCACGAAGCAAGACAAGTGGACTTCGAGCGGACACCTTTGGTGACATGACATTCATTGATCACTGTCAAGTTCCTCTTGGAACAGGAGAACACATCATTGTTTTTGTCATCCTGGATGGAGCAACAACATTGCTCACTGCAGAGGCAGTGACAACTACGCAAGAAGTCGAGAACATCACTGTCCTCAGGAACTATTTTGACCAGTACCACTTGCAGCCCAAGTCAGTTGTCGCAGATCAAGCCTTCATGACAGAGACATGGGAACATTTCTATCAGTCCCTTGACATCACACCGATATCCTTGGGACCGAATACACCATGGCCAAATCGAGCTGAAGCAGCAGTTCGACTCCTGAAGGCACAACTCAAGATCATGCTAAGTTCCATCAAGGCAGGAACTGCACCTGCAACACTGAAGAAAGTGACATACAGACAGCTGGTGAAGGCCGCTGCAACTGTCAGGAATCAGACTGTCACCTACGGGGGTGTAACACCATTAGAGCTCGCATTCGGAAGACGACCAGCAGATCTCATCCAACTTGATGTCGCAACACCAACGCAGTTGACGATTGACAGGAATGAAGAAGAGCTGACAGCCATCCAGATCAAGCAGCTGTCAAAGCAAGCATTCCAAGAAGCACGTCAATCCGAAGACATCCGACGAGACCTAGCTCAAAATCTCCGAATGAGTTCTAAGCCTCTTCAGGTGAAGGACAAGGTATTCTACTGGCAGGAAGACAAATCCAAGATCCGTTCCGATGGAAGCAAAGGAGGAATATGGCTGAAAGGAAAAGTCATTTCCATTGAAGGAGCAATGGTAGGACTTGATCTTGGGACTCGACTCATCAAGGTTAACATGACGAAGGTCAGGAAGGATGAAACCATCCCTCCGAAAAAACCCGGAATTGACCTTCTATCTCCAGAAGAGCGAGAATCCTTGCAGAAGGAGCAACCTGGATCCTCTGCAGACACCAAGAAGAAAGAGTCATCCGCACCAGCTCCTAAGCCAAAATCCTCAGTGCCATTGCGTATCGCGGGAAAAACAACTCCCAAACCTGCAGCACCTCATCCGGCAGAGAACATGTTCGTCGAGGACCTCACATCCGTTCCTGAACAAGCACATTGGAACTGTGTACGTAAAGGAAAGATCCACGTCCTCGAGATCTTTGCAGGAAGTGCCAGATTCAGTCAATGCTGTGCACTATCAGGTCTTAAGGTTGGGACTCCCGTAGACATCCGCACAGGATTCGACGTAATGACCTCCAAGGGACGACTCATGGTCATGGAGATCATCAGGGAACAAGCACCTGATGTCATCCTAATGGCACCGGTCTGTGGACCATGGTCAAATATGCAGAACATCCAACAAGACCAACAAAAGGTCGGGGAAAAGCGGAAACGCTATCTCCCCATGGTTGAATTTGTGGCATCCATTGCGCGGTATCAGTTGAAGCACGGAAGATACTTCATCATTGAAAATCCTCAGACATCCAG